TGAATTGAATGAAACACAAGACAAGGGATTGAGTGCTGAAGACATGCAATCAGACAATGAATCCGAAGGTATTGAATGCCATATGAATTGGGAATCAAGTGATGAGACCATCGATGGATGTGTTGATCACTACGAAGACATGAATGAATCAAATGTGTGTCCAATAAGTGGAGAAATGGATTCACAGATAATTAATTCAGTTGTGAATGAATGCCATAATAATGATGAATCAAATGAAACAAGTTTTGTTGAAAATGAAGGCAATGGTAAACCTATTGAAGACTTAAATACAAATGAAATGAATGGAGAGAAAAGTATTTCTAATGAAAGTCAAAGAGAAAGTGATTTAAACACGAAATCAGACAATAATTGCGAAACAAATACGAGAAGAGATGGGAATTTAATTGAAGACAAAATCCAGAAAAAAGTATTTTATAAGACATCCGACGGACAGTATGTCTGCGACTATAAAGAGTGCGGAAAATCCTTTAATCACTGCAAAAGTCTTAGAGAGCACTCATTGAGTACTCACTCTGGGATCAGATTGTATACCGGTGCGATAGTAAGGGATGTAATTACAAGACTGGTGTCAAATCGAGTCTAGAATCTCATGTATTGTGTCACTCAACCGATTATCAGTTCAAATGTTTACTCAATAAATGCGACAAAACTTTTAAACGAGAAACTTGTTTAACTCACCATCAGCTTAGAGTACATCCCAATGACTTGCCAGACATACCATGGATTCAATGCACACATAAGGGCTGTCAGTATAAGACTAAATGCAAATCTGATTTTAATGATCACATGAAAACCCATACAAAACCATACGTTTGCAGTTAATGTCAGAAAGGGTTCAGTGGTTCAAACGGATTGAAGCATCACATGAGGACTCATAACAATGATCTGAAAATAAGGTGCGAATGGTGTGGATGTGAGCGACTGTTGAGTGAGTGTGGCTGTGGAGTGAGTAAGTCAGAGATGAAAAGACATATGAATACACATACGGCAGAGACGGTCTACCGGTGCCATTGGCCTGAATGTGATTACACGACTACTAACCCAATTAGGCTTAATAATCACATCAATAAGCAACACAAGGGTTTGGATGACTACCTGTGCTCTTATCCCGACTGCCAGTTTACAACTAAGAAATGTATGGATATGAACAGACATATAACTACTCATAATAATCAATAAGTTCTGGTCATATATTTTCTTGATAAACAAATTAGTGGTCACTTTGTTTGATACTATAACTTATAGACTAAGTATAAATATGTTTTTAATTTAAAAAAGGGTGCCATATGTTGCAATATAAATGTAATTATTAGTTAAAAATTATCTATAATAAAAGTTTATTTAAATAAATACTATACTGATGAGCGTATCCTTTTTGTATTGAAGTGTATGCGGATAATACTACCGGTAATAGTCATTTACTGGCAGCAAAACTGTAATTATTATAACAACTTTTATTAATAATCTAAAAATATTGAATGCATTTTAATTACACAGGCAAAGGTGTTAAATAATAAATTTATCTAAGTATGTAATCATTTGATTTCCATTTAAGCAAAAATTAAGGGAAAGGGAATGAAATTGAGGGGTAAGTTTGACCTGAAGTACGGATCTTTGGTTTGATAATTCAATTGATGCCATATTTGGTGGCTAAGAGTATAAGCTTTGGTCGTTGAGAGCCGGAACAGGATTGTAGTGATTAATACTGTATGTATGAGACAATTGGTTGGACATTCAAATGTAATTAGATATACCGACTAGTAATTAGCAAACAAACACTGGTATACCTTATTATTGTAATTATTGCTTCGTATGTGTTGTCATATGTCTATCCATTTGACCACAACTTTTGGTACTATAATCGCAGTCGGGATGAGAGCAATGATATCCATCCAAACCCTTGTGTTGATTATCGATATGATTGGTTAGTCTTATCTTATTAGTGGTTTGATAATCACATTCAGGCCAATGGCACCGGTAGTCAGCCTTTTTCTCGTGTACTCTTTTCCTGTTATCACAATTTCTGAAACTCATGTCCGCACGGAAGCGATGTCTGCGAGTTGTGTCTACTCTTCTGCTTCTTTTTCATGTGTTTCTCTAATTTGTTTGCCATTTGCTGTCCACTTAAGTCACCTTCACTTTTGTAAGTTTTGTTTTGTAAATTATCTGCAAATCTATTCAATTATTAACTGCTTTTTGAGATGTTATAAAAAATACAAAATTTATTTCATTATTAAAGCGCGAATTAAATACAGAATTTATAAACATTATACCGGTATAAGTTATTGCCTGACTAATAAAATTAAGTTATTGAAACAAAAACTTGAATTTTAAACATTTTGCTAATTACGGTCATAATTACTACATATCGTAATCATTCACACTTTAATTTTCGATGAGTGTGAATATGTTTGTCCAATTCAATGCACTTCTTAGTTGTAAACTGGCAGTCGAGATAAGAGCACCGGTAGTCATCCAAGCCCTTGTGTTCTCTATTGATGTGATTATTAAGTCTAATCATACTTAAGGTCTCATAATCACATTCAGACCACTGGCAGCGGTGGTAAACTACACCCATGTGTTGTATCTTGCGGTGTGTGTCTAAACTTTTTCTATTAACATACGATTTGTCACATTCAGGCCATTGGCACCGGTAGACAGTCTCTCCCGTATGGGTATTCATATGCTCTTTCATATGTGAGTTACTGGTGAACAGTCTGTTGCATCCAAACCATTCGCACCTTATTTTCAGATCACTATTATGGGTGCGTTTGTGAACTATCAGAGATGATAGACTCGCACACCCTTTCCCGCACTCACTACAGACATATGAATGGCTTTTCACGTGTTTATCCATTTGCTCATTTATTTTACTCTTAAACTGACAGCCAGTTTGCGGGCATTCAATCCATGGCACGTCTGGGAAGGCATCGGGATGTGCGCTGAGACTGTGTTGACGTAAATACTTCTTATTGTTATATATTGTGCTGTAATTACAGCCGTCGTATTCGCACCGATACTTCTTT